ATTACTATCCCAGATTTGTCAAGTTGACGGTGGGCGAGCTGTTGGGATTCCAGGATCAGTCTAAGGTTGACAAGGTCTCTGGTATGCCTTTGACCATGGCACTTTCGGCTACTACCAACCCAGTGACCGAACAGTATCGTGCTAGCTTTGTGGAGGACTGGAAAGGATTGTATTACTTCAAGATGTCTAACGGCATGGAGTACAACTGTGCATTCGACCCGGATTGTATGGCTCAGGATGAGTTCAAGGCAAACGGCACATGCACTCCTGATGATAAGTGCCACCCGAACTATGCTGCGGGTTTCGATGTTAAGTATGTGCCCGGTACTCTGAATGGTCATGGTACGAACGACTACCACAAGGTTGGTGCTATTGACAAGATGTTCGTCAGTCCGGTGTTCTCAACGGCTCAGATGAAGCTCAGCAAGAAGGATCAAGACTATAATGGAGCTAATATTGATATCTGGGATCTGGCTGACCTGGCCTTCAGGAACGAGAACTGTGATGGGTCCGGCGATGACAGTCGCGGTATTGACTGTGATTCACCTTATCTGACTCTGAACTTGGGGACTTTCAGTTCACCAAAGCCGAATCTAGTGAGGACGCCTATCTACGCCTCACTGCCTCATTTCTACCAAGTGGATGGCTCGTCCTCGGTTAGGAATTGGTATCCTGGTGATCGTGTTGACACTAAGAGTTGCTCGGGATCTGAGGAGTGTGACGATCCTGAGAGGGACTTCAATTGTCAGATGTGGACTGAGCCCATCACTGGTGCTCTCTTGAAGGGTGCATTGAAGCTGCAGATGAATGTCATGATGCCGCCTGCTGCGAATACCGAGTCTGGGAAACTGACCGACGAGGTTCTTATTCCGGCAGTGTGGGTTGATGAGCATCAGCTGGCCTACCCATATCAGATTGACTCTATCAAGCAACTGCAAGCTGCACCCGGTCTATTCGAACTGGTCATGTGGTTGGGCATCGCTTTTGGTATCGTTTTCGTGTTATGTGCTGTTGCATTCTTCTATTTCGGTTGGAGACGCCGCAGTGCACTCAGAGCTGTTGTCCTGCAGAAGAAGGTTTCTGGAGTGACCGAGGCACTTTGATGGTTTTTGCTTGTCGATGTTGGAGTTCTGTCTTGAATACATTGCCACGTTATTGTTTGCTAATAGCAGTCTTGAAATATTATGTGCTACACTATTTGTCTATTGATTCGATCGCACAATACTGTTACTAATGTGTGGACCATTCAGTCAGCCCTTGACATAAGAATCTGGGCGATTGTTTAGATCTGCATGGCTACTGGTTTGATAAGTACTCAGTTATGACGGTGTAAGTAATGCTACCTACGCCTTTATGAGTACCAAGTTTGTTCCTTGTGACTCTAATATACACTGAGTTGAGTGACCTAGTTGCGGAGGGATAATATAAGGCTGGAATTCATAGTGAGTTTCTTACTGTCACTCATACGTGAGCTGAGTCTATCTACTAATAGCGAGTTTTGATAGTAACAGCCTCAACCTCTTGATTAGCGATTTGATGTGTATGTGAATTTGAATTCCAACGCCGGTTTTGTCCGGACGTGGAAGCTGGAGGTATAGCTTTGAAAAGAGAAGATCGTATTCGCCTTTCGGAATTTCAGCCACGCGATAAAAACTGCCAATATGTTTCAAATCGGCACGAGGTTGGATTTCGCGCTGATAGAAATTTTGATGCCGAGTTTTGAGTCGTCAGTTTCGCCATAAGACTCCCAAGGTCTTCGAATGATCATTGCAAAGTCAAGCTTCGTGGGTTAAGGAAAATACTCAAGTGTTTGAAAATCCCATTCTGAGATGGCATGCAACTATGTCAGGTGTATTAGTCCTAATCTAGGTTGTTAGGGGTTGAAGTTAGAGGAGGTGCCCTCACTTAGTTCTGTTGTCTTACGTACTCTTACGGGACAAAGCGGCACAATCTAATTTCCCCTTGTGTATCATCTTTTAAACACTTTTCGGAAGATATTCCTGTTTGGTACTTTGCTGATTCTCTTGTTTACGAGAAGTGAAGAGGGTTTACGGTGATGAAACCTGTCATTGCTACTTTTGACAGTTTGGTGTTGCATTTGAACTAACAGTTTGGCCGGGAAGAATCGATAATGGAGATAACTTTTCCACATCACTTTTGTTGAGAAGATTCGAATGTATTTGTGAGTAGTAAGGCGGTGACGCGAACGATAAGTCGCGAACAGCACCAGGAAATTACGTACAGTTTCCTTACTTGGACGATCATCGCTGCATGCAGTCCACCGTTGTAGTTGGTAACCCTTCGTTGCTATGGTGTCTAAAAAGGCTTCTAAGAAGTTCAATAAGGCGCAGTCGAAGGTGTCGGCTAAGGCGAAGCAAAAGGCTAAGTTGACAGAGAAGATCAAGCGCAGAGATGAGATCAAGGAAAGCAAACGGAAAGGTTATAAGGCTTGGGTGCTTGGCAACTGCGAATGGCGTTCTTTCTCTCAGCTAAGCTCACTGAGGCAGAACTGGAGGGGGCAGAGGAAGAGGAGGACATGGATGCAGAACTCAATGCGCAGCTGGCCGATATTGGTAGTCCCGTACGGGGTTGCCTCTCGACTGTCGCTGAGACGAATGTGCGTAGGGTCAGACGATGAGGCGGTGTTCTGTGTACCCGACGGCATGGATGGGGAGGAGGAGCTTGTGGAGGCCCTCAATGAGGGGGAAGAGGAGAAGAAGTCATCCACGGGGGAAAGTAATAGTGATGTTGTGGCCACAAGGGGGGAGGCGATGCTTAGGGGCTGAAGGGGATGAAGCCGATACGCATATGAAGGAATTGGAGGCTCTTAAGGAGACCGATCCAGAGTTCTATAAGTGGGCATTTGCCCGGGTGCCTCGAGCTGGTCTTTGATGGAGTTTACAGGTTCCTTCAAGAGACTGATCAAGACCTGTTAGAGTTCGGTCAAGGAGAGGAGGTCGAGCAGGGGTCTGAAGCGAAGACGAAGAAGCCGAAGACGAAGGCTGACACCGGGGTAGTAGGCATGTTGCTAAGGGAACACAACGTCTTGTTTTATGACTACTACACTTTCTCTTGCCGTAGGTGCTCACGATGGAATTGTTGAATCAGCTAACTGAGGCGGCTGAAGGGAAGAAGGACGGCAATAAGTCTTTGAAGGCCCTCCGAGCAGTCCTCTCGGCCTACCGGGTTGCTAGTCGTATGATCAGAGGAGAGGCAAAGGAAGGCGGCGAGTCTGAGGAAGGTAGTATTGTAGTGTTGGAGGGATCGGGACTCGACTACCCACGTTCAGTTGAGGGATCTGCCACTGGTGTGCGAATAGAGGATGCCGCGGTGTTCAATGCTGTGTTGGAATGGACCCTCAAGAAGGTGGGTATACTAGGAGGTCCTGCTGTGACTGGATTGGTGACAGGCCCCTGAGCTGTTGGATTATCACGACAAGCAAGTAGCTAAGGCTAAGGGAAAGGAGGCGGCTTCTGGTGGCGGCAAGACGTATATGTTGGGACGTATGTTCTGGAGTGAAAGTCTCAGCCTGTTGCAGCAATTGACTGATCTCGACACTCAGGAATTTGTAATACTGTGGCTATCGCGGGATGGTGGGGCTTATCAGGCAGCGACTAGGTCCTGTGGCAACTCTCTGATGCTAGTGCTCTGAAATACCTCATGCCCTTGAAGAAGCTGAAGCCGCTTGTTATCAATGAGCTATGCAGGAAGTGGGCTAAGGGAGGTAGGCTACTCGCGGCTGGTGGGTTTCATCTAACTTGGTGATTTGTAGCCGCCCAAGGGACGAAGCTGGCGGCCTTTTCGGCGCTGTATAACCTGGTTGGGCACATTCTCAAGAACGCTGCTTCATCTAAGAAGGGCACTGAGGCTGCTGGACGGGAGGTTGAGGGCATCATGAGACGGATGTATAGAGCGTAATAGGTGCATGGGCTTTGGGGCGGCTCGAGCGTACTGATATGATGGGAGTGTGCATGCAACGGCTAAGGGGTTCGATGCCTTCAGGTATGTCGTATCGTTACAGAGGGTACCTGCCCTTACACACAGGCAACTGTCGGCTTGTCGGTTCATGGAGAACTGTATTGCGGAAATGCTCACTCTCGAGCCACAGGCTGCCTATCGTATAGCGTTCACTAGTAAGCACTCTTAGGTCCTCATGGAGGGACCGGTAGCGGTTGGAATAGGTATCCGTCAACTTGGCGTCATACTGAGGTCAGCCATGAAAGCTCAGAGTAAAGGCATCAAGTCGATTACCCCGGGTCAAGGTAGGTGATGGATCTTGTACAGCCCTTGTAGTCGTGTATTAGTCGGTGGGTCTAAGGCGAGCAAGGCGGCAGCAGGCGGCTCGGCTGGTGTTGATTCGGTCCGTCAGTTGTATAGTGTTTGCTATGTGAGGAGCTCTGCAGTCTGGGTTGCTGCTATGGAGCGACTGCCAGAGCAGTTGAAGGACTTGGTAGTAGTACTGGTGTGAGAAGAGGTAGAGCATAATCGACGTAGTTACACCCCCTGATGGTGATACTGCTGTGTGCGGCCAAGTCGAAGGAAGGCCATACGGTGTACCTGCCTTTCGTACTGCATATGCTGGAGCTTGCCAACTGCCTAGCAGAGAAGGCTAACGTCTTTGCTCCACTCACTTCTCTATTGGTACGCCACTGAAAGTATACGGGAGAATTGGGAAAATGGAGGCCTACGGTTCAGTTACGAGGATTGTCGAATCTGGCGGCTAAGGAGAAGCAACAAACCAGTACTAGACGATCAGCAGCTACCTCTACAGACTTGAAGCCAACTCAAGTGGGTGCTTCGCTCCGCTGGATATGTTGGTTATTTTAGGATCTCATCTTAGGTTGACCTCGTCGTGAGGGTGTCTGAGAGGCAACTAGACAACCGTCCAACTAGCCAGGCTTTGCGGAAGTAATGCTGCATCCAGGTTCATGTCGATCTCTAGCCCATCACTTTGCTCCGATGTATTTCAACGATAATTAGTAGTTTACACGTGATCTTAGATACCTCTTATTCGTCCTCACACACCACCTCGCATTATTGGCCCGTAGCCCTTCTTATCCGGAAATAACGACACCGCTGATGACGCATCTGAGGAGGCTACAGAAATCTAATTTGGCCGTTAAACATGAAGTAAGGGAGTCCTTGGTGCTCGCTGTAGTCGTGAGTATGCTGAAGGATTACAGCACTTATAGTCTCGTTGGCGATCCCCCCACTTAGCCGTATGCTTATGGTTCGCATGGTCCCTGCTGCCCAACACAGAGTGGTTGCTTTAGTTGAAGCCGTTGATTTCACTTTCGGAGGAAACCGCGGCACAAGTCACACGCATGAGAAGCTCGTTGAGGTCGCCACCAGAGCAGTTCATGATGTAGGACTATCATTGTTTCTCTCTAGAGCAGTGTCGATGCCTCTCTCAGCTACAGCTACAGTGACACTGCTATGGGTAAGGCCTATGTACAGCAGCAGAAGCAAAGGGAAGAGGAGGAGAAGAGCAAAATAGAGGCTATGATGAAGGGCGACCAGGAGATCGAACAGAGGCTCAAACGCCAGAGGGTAATAGGGGGGTCTGCTGAGGAAGTGCCTCTAGAGATGTGCATTAGGCTGAGGAAACTGGAGAGGCAGAGGACGGCCCAGAGAGAAGTAAGCGGTCGTTGAAGCGGCAGAGGCAGAAGGAGAAGAAGAGACGTGAGCACCTACTGCGGTCGAGGATAATTTCATGGCGCGTGACTTGTGTTCAGAGGCGTGGCTGGCGGCACAGACAGCTGCGGCTGAGGCGATCGGGGAGGCAGCCCAGCAGGACAGTGTCCACGAGATGACATTCTCGGATTCCGAGGGGGAGGATTGATGGCAACCCCTACGTCCACTACAACGTTACTAGTACTCTACCAACGTCGGAACGTTTCGTCTTGTACGAAAAGTTGAGTTCAAGTGTTTACGATGCAGAGTTGGCGATAATTCAGTCCACGATGGAGTATGTAGAATATTATGTAAGGGAGTATGGTGGACTGCCTACGTCACAGCGCCTTTTATATTCTTCCTTCGTTCATGGATAATGCTCGGTGAGGAGAGAAACCCTAGTCAGAGTTGCTGCTTTTGTTGTTGTTGTTGTCTGGTTTGTTGACATGTCATCGTTCCGTCCTCATGGGCCCTTCGGTCCTCTCGTCCCGGCAGTCACATCCAGCGAGTGGTTGAAGAGGAAACCTTTGGGGTATAAGGATCCTGCTGAGAAGGATTCTTCCAAGAAGGATGTAATAATAAACTCCCTCTCACTTGAGTCATCTCTCGCACGTATTGATTGTATTATGGGGTGGAGGCCGTTACCGGGGTCCCATGGCTGTGGGTATGGGGTTAACGATGGTGGTCTTCAGGCAGAGCTGTGTGCTGATGAATCGGAGTTGCCCGAGTGGGCTAAGGTGTCCAAGGAGGAGTACTTCAGATATGAGAACATGTTCTGTGGATGTACGTGAGGAGTGGTATGATATGGATTGTCTATACTATAGCTTTTAGATTGTGGTTCCTTCTACGACCAAAGGCAGAAAGGGCAGTACTCGGTCTGCTCTAGATGTGGGGCTAAGCGGGACAGTGAGTGTTGGGAGGTCGCCGCCGGGGATCATGGCCCGCCGTGTCAGGATTCGCCACTGGACCTCTGATGGAGTCCCATGCCGTATTGGACTATGGCGAGATGAAGGTGTGGATGAAGAACATCATAGACGAGGAGGAAGGGAAGGAGAAGAAGGACGACAAGAAAATGGCCTTAGTAAGTGCCCAGTAAGTAGAGGTGCCAGTCATTGATCGAAACGCTTAGGTGGATGAGGAATGCCCCAAGTGCAAGAATCCACGGATGGCGTTCTGGACTCAACAGCTACGAAGTGCTGATGAAGGCCAAACCGTCTTTTACGAGTGCCAGAAGTGTGGCTACCGCTGCAACGTCAACAACTGATCATCTCCGACTACCCCCAGTGTTCTTGCTCTTACGCCCACGTATACTGCCTCTACTACCGCTGTATATAGGGTTGTGTTTGTAACTGGCGGACATTATTATGCGATGACGAGAGTGGTAAGAGCCTTCAGCCCATGGTTGATTTATGGTCATCTGTGTGTTGGTGTCGTCCCAGCGAGGAAGCCTGCGGTGGCTTAGGTTCGGGATAGTGAGCCAGTGGCGGGGTCTGAGTAACACTACTGCAGTCGAGAGGCTGAGGATGATACGGAACATGGGGGTTTTCGCCCATGTGGATGCTGGCAAGACCAGTATTACGGAGAGAATGCTATTGCATGCAGGGGAGATAGGCCGGCCTGGGAGCGTCGATCAGGGCACGGCTCAGATGGACTACCTTCGTCAGGAGGTTGAGAGGGGCATATCAATAAGGGCCGCGGCGACGACGTTCAAGTGGGCAGACTACACCATCAATTTAGTAGACACCCCTGGTCATGTGGAGTTTGGCGCGGAGGTCCAGAGGGCTGTTAGGGTCCTCGGTGGTGCTGTAGTAGTAATAGATGGTACGGCGGGGGTGCAGGCCCAGACCCGTACAATATGGCGACAGACTGAGCATCTACCGAGGCTTATCTTTGTCAATAAGTTGGACATTGAAGGAGCTTCTTGGGCGACAGTCGTGCGGAGCCTCGACACAGCCCTACCGCAGTCCATGAGCAAACCTCTAATGATCCAGTATCCACTACTACACCCTTCGGGGGGCATTCGGGGTACTGTGGATCTGCTTACTCGCCAAGGGTATGAGTACCATGGAGAATATGGTGAGGCGCTGAGAGAGGTGGCAGTCGAGGCTAGGGAGGACTTGGATGGCGTTGAAGAGGCCCGGACTGATCTTATAGAGACTTTGGCCATTCTGGATGAGAAGTTTGCCGACAGTTACTTTGATGAGAAGGAGGTGTCGCCTGCATTGATGAGTGCAGCCATACGCAGGCAGTCTATCGTGCGGTGTATAGTTCCCGTCCTCTTCGGCTCAGCTATGACCAACATAGGCATTCAGGTAGTAGTCGCCTCCTAGCTGACCTGCACAGTCGTCCTTAGCATCTGATGAACTCCATACCGCTGTATCTGAGTAACCCCATAGAGGCTGCTCGCGATCACCAGCACTACTTGCCCGACCCTCTGTTGGGGAGTACTATGATAGAGGCCTTCAAGGTGATCCCCCCTTCATTGAACCCAGAGGAGGAGAAGCGTGGCAACGTGGTCTATTGTCGGTACGCATCGCCAAGGCCGGTCTAAGACATGATGCTCTGGTCTGTAGGGTCCTTTCTGGGGCTGTGGTAGCTGGTACAAAATTGCGCAATAGGACGAGGGAGGGAGGAGAGGAGTACGAGGCATGCACTGGAGTCTATAGAGTGAAGGCCTCCGAGTTGCATCCGAGGGAGGTCCTGCTAGGTAGTACACTGGGCGGCTAACCCCCCACAGATTCGGTTGGGCCCTTCAGCTGGGGACATCGGGGTGGTCACGGGCCTAGAGAACATCCGTAGTGGGGATATCCTAACCGGTGTGGAGGGGGAAGAAGATACGAGTGAGGCCATCATTGCTCTGAGGAAGGAGGATGCTAGAGCCAGCG